CTAGTTTATTCTTTCTCGATACAACTTTTATTAATACACAGAATTTCCACAGTCACTTTAAACTTAACAACCTTTATAACACACGCTTTACTTACATGTCTACTGTTCGCTTGACTCAATTATCTATCTGCCTATATCGCTGGCTTTCTTTGCCAGGCTTATGGTATTAAAAGAGAGAGCGTCTAGCAAACACTCGGACATTCGTGGGGTTCCCCGATAATTCTAGAAACTCCAGCGCGCATGCTCCCAGCGTCACGCGACTTCCGCTGTCGTAACAATACAAAATAAATCAAAATTGCTATTTTATCTTTCTATACTTACTTTAAATTGTAGCAGGAAAATACATTTCTTTAGTTCTTAAACTTATACAACTATTTATTTTCTATTTTTTTTATCGTGATTTTTAAAATTCGCGCCATTAGAAGGTCAACTTATGCGGTAACATGGAGCAAATGTTACGGTAACCAAGTTACATAAAGCTCGTGCTAATCGTGAGCTGTTAGTCCTAACGAGTGTACCTCGAAGAAAAATGTTATTATTATTATTATTATATCTATTTATATTACTTAATTTATCCTTATCTAGCCTAAAAGTTTGTAAGTTTTACATTTTCAGTTACTTTTATAATAATAAATAAAGAATAGAAACAAAAACAAGAAATATATCATTCACCTTTGTAGTCGTTTTGGTTTTTTTTAATTATTTGTTTTTATTATTATTTTGCCGTCGAATGCCCTTTTATGTTAGCCCTTCTACTTTACATCAATGCTACTAGTCCATAAAATATTTTTTCACTAAATAATGCAGGGAACAACACAATAATTTCATGTGAATAGCTGATAATTTGGTATTTCTGTGAGAAATGTTCTGGCTCTCATATCATGTGACTTGGGCAGTTACTGTTAGAAATTCAACTTTAGCTCCCATTATGTTCTCATGGGAATTTTTTTTTTCCCTCTTCAGCTAAATTGTAAATTATCTGTAACATCAAGTGGTATAAAACATACGCCAATCAATCAACTGAAATCTAAGCTATGTATTGGTTATAAATTTAATAGGAGTCAGCCTTAGAAAAATCTATTACCAAATTGCAATTTACAGTAAGGTAGAGGTAGGCGTGGAAAGTAGGTCAAAACTATATATTCATTTGACCTTTTAATGGTTATTCATCCATTCATTTTAAGTAATAAAAGTACTTTGTACATAAGAAAGCCTTAAATTACAAACGTTTATAAAACTTCAACAAAAAGTAAATATTATTTTTAAAACTTAATGTATAAATAGCTTTATTTTATAATATATTCCCTAAATATCTTTCCACTGCTTGCTAAACTGTTTCATTGACCAACCTAATCAGTAAATGACAACATAAAGTAATATATCATGGGGCATGATGTGACCATTATGTTTTTTTTTATTGTTACGACAGCGGAAGTCACGTGATGCTGCTAGCGCATGCATGACTGAATTTCTCGAATGATCAGGGAGGCCCAAGTGTATTCCAGACGCCCCCTTCGTTGGTATTTAAGCCTGGCAGAGAAAGCCAACAATTAATGAATGAATGAAAAGAATTCCAGGTAATTTACGATTCTATTTTGAGCTAGTGTGTGTTTTCGAGATTGTGAATCGCTGTGATTTATATCGTGTATTATAAAATTAGTTAAGTTTAAAGTGACGAGAAACGTATTGATTGTGCAATTACTGTGTGCTAAAAGTTTGTATCGAGGAAGAATAAACTGGTTTAACCAAGAAAGGGCTTGTATCGCTGAAGTTTCTCGGAAAGAATTTCTACCGGAAATTAACAAACAAGCAGATACGTAACTGTATCTATCCCACACTCAAGCAACAGAATGTTTTCTTTAACCCACAGTTCTTCTAAACCAGCTTACAGTTTCTATCTTATAAGTAATTAAAAAGAGAAAATATGTGAAATCATAAACAATAAATACAAAAATGACGAGAGATAAAAAAGATTTTAAGTTTAACTAAACTCTCACTTAAATATAAACACACAACATCATACTACTACTAAATACCCTTGATATGTTTCCCTGTAGATGAACACACTGTATTGAAGTGTATCACAAAGTTATTGCATCCACTTTTCACTGTTATTTTTCTACAGTCATGCTTATATATTACAGATACTTCAAACTATAAACACAAATTCACATTGTTTTACAACAGTTCGGAGGTTAGCTTGACAAACAGACTAAGTCATTCTAACACTCAACACTTGAAATGGAGTTAGTGGAACTTGTGTCCATTCAATTTAAGGTTTTGTTTTTTAAATGCATCAATTTTTTTTTCTTGTGGCAAATCACAAAACAATACGAATTTGTATTTATTTTTCTATTTCAAAGAATTAAGTTAGATGTTTGTATGGTAATATAGTTAGTATCATAACTATATTATGATTTTAGAACAACATCATTTGTTAAAAGCATGTTATGACAGTCTAGAGAAATGGAACATCAATCATGATTTAATAAGTTAGCATATATCTCTACATTAATTGGTTTTTGTACAAGCCCTAAAGAAACTACAATGGCAAAATGAAGGTTGAAATAGAAATAGTTTCATACATACCATTGTTTACTGAAATCCTTGCACCTGTAGAAGGCTCAGGTAATTAACCCAAAAGCTTATGTATTGAAAAAAACAAAATTAATGTGGTCATAGTCCAAATATATTACTTAACACAAACAAAGATGTTTTTAAATTATCTAGAGAGTACTAGTTGTTTTTGTAACTTTTATTGTCAAAAATGCCTACATTTCTCCAGTGTGCACTTGTAAAAACGTTTCCCAGAGTTTATAAGAGATATCAAAGCTAATCACTTTATTGTTTTAAGTAAGTAATGCAATTACATGCAATTTCACCAAATCAAGAATACTTCACTCACTTATAGAATCAAGTACATGTCTACATAATTTTGTTAAATGTTTTTAAAAAGGAGGAAGAAAATTAATATAACTCTAAAATATTTTATGAAAAAACAAAACAGTGTTTTTAATAAAGAATGATACAGGTTTCAATTGTTATATTATCAAGAGTAGATATATATATATTTGTATGTGTAAATAAAATTAAAACAAAGTAGGCTAATTCTACAATTCAATTTAAAACGAAAATTTTAAATATCCACTTTCAGGCACATTTGTAGTTGTACCGTTCCCGTGACTTACAAAGACAGAGTTGAGTTTTTCTGTATTATGTTCCCTTTCATAACAAGTACCTTAAGATTTTAGTTTGTCTAATAAGTATAAGTGGTTTAAATATATTGTATGTTGTACCAGTTCAATAATATCACGTTTTCAATGAATGGAGTATTGATAACTGAAGCGATTAGTAACTGTGGCATAATTCTTCTACAACGTAACTGTAGACCGACAGTTTTAAGACCTTACAATGGATGATGTTATTTTAATACACTTTGAGCTGTTGGTCTAAATTTGTAAGACAGCCTATGAACAGTGAAAAAAAAATTGTCATTAACAAGTTATTATTTCACAAGTTTAGACCAACAGATCATCAGCATAAGCATTTGTAAAAGCAAAATTTATTTTTAATTGAAACAAACTTCTAAATGTCAGAATCTATCGACCAGTGATTAACCTACATGTTTACAAGTAACAGGTAAACAACCAGCTGAGGATTTTGTATGTGTTCAAAAAACCACTATTATGCAAATCACTGTACAAATATAACACTGTTTCTCCAAACTTTTATCATTCACAATATTCCCAGCACTTTCATCAGGTCTTTGTGCAAACAACATCACTACATATGCAGCTATATTTCATAGTTATCAGAATATGAGTACTATTCAATGAAAACATGTTTCGTTATTCCATTTCTCTGTGACTTTGTTACTCATAGTAAATTGCAAACACAGTTGAAACAGCATAGAAATCCAGGTTTTCAAATACTTCTGTTACAAAGTTATCTCTCTGAGGATCCCATAAACAACGACTTGCTATTGTAATATCTTCATTCTGCTTCTGACCAATGGTCACCATACACACAAATTTGTATCTGAAATGTAAAAAAGTTAATAAGTAAGAACAAATTTTGTTCAAATTTATCGAAAAAAATAATATATATATATGTATATATATACTACGATGATACCTTGAATGGAAAGGCCATCATTCAAGGACAGGTTAAGATCTCTGAACTTGTCTTCTTATAAGAAAAGAAGAGTTAGAGGAGATCTGATTGAGGCGTATCAGGTTTTAAAGGGAATTAATAGTATTGATGCATCATCTTTTTTCATACTTAATGGTGAAGGCAACCCATTCCAAATGCCAACTACACTGTTAGAAAAAATAAAACTGTCTTAGCTGGAGATGACTCCTATCTTGCCAAAATTTATATTTGTGTCACCTAGCCCTACTATTCTCATTGTTAAATGTATAAAAAAAGATGATGCATCAACACTATCAATTCTCTTTACAATCTTAAACACCTCAGTCAGTCCTAACTTTTCTTTTTTCAAGAGACCATTTTCACAAACCAAAAACCTGTATTGTAGGCTCAGTGAACTATTGTATATTATATTTACATATTAAGATTAATTTTCTGTAAATAATTAAGATACATATAAGTATAGTACTTCTAAAAAGTGTACTTTTACTTTACATATCATACTAATAAATGACCCATGAGAGAACTTGGGCACCAACAACTACACAAAAAATCAACATGCTTTATTTGGAATGACCATTTTCATGCCCATGTAATTTAGTTCAACCAACACATATGGGGACTCCAATTTGAAAATTTGCTAAAATCTGAATTTAGATAATTATTTTGAATGGCTCCTCACTTGTCAACTGAATTTAGATAATTATTTTGAATGGCTCCTCACTTGTCAACTGAATTTAGATACTTATTTTGAATGG